TTTCTAACATTCTGATTAAATCCCAATTTAGAAAACTTTAGATAAAATGCTTTAAACACACATGCTGACATTTGGTTAAAAATATGTAATTTTAATCAATTGCTTTAAATTTTTTATTTATGATTGTTTGCCTTTTCTCTTTTTCTTTTAATGATTAATGTTAAATAAAGACATCAATACAAAAAACGCTCACAATATATGCATCAAGATCAGAGAGTTCCTGGGAGGAAAATCAATAACCACTGCACATAAAGAGCATCACCTGTTTCTAGAAAGTCAGTTTTGGGGACCAGCAATTAGCGTAATGCCTATGTCACTGGACTCCCATGTAGTCAACTGCAGTTCGAGTCCCGGACCAGTGGCTTAAACTCACGCTGGGTGCGTGTGAGTGCGTGCCCAAGATCCTGAGAGGAGAATGGAGGAGAAGGGATTGTGCTGTGGCCATCCCCCCAGGGGGTGATTTCTCACTTTCTGTCTGTCTGTCTGTCTCTCTCTCTCTCTCTGGAGAGCTCACGCTCCCTATAGCAAAAACCTCTCCAAAAAAAGAAAAAAAAAAAGTCAGTTTTGTAACCTGAGTCAGATCAATTAAGAATTTCAGTTCAGGAGCCAGCAGGTGGCATAGTGGTTAAAGCACTGGACTCCCATATGGTTGACTGTGGTTCAAGTCTTGGACCTAGCATCTTGAAATTCACACTAGGTGTGTGTTCACGCATGCCTAAAATCTCAAGAGGAACATGGAGAAGGGAATGTGACATGGCCATCCCCTTGGGGATGATTTCTAACTTTCTGTCTCTCTGGTGAGCACAAGTGCCCTCTAGCAAAAATCTCTTTAAAAAACCCACCTCAGTTCAACACAACTAGCATTTATAATCTTATAATCCCAGCACTAAGTCTATCAAACTACCTTTTAAGTCTGGCTGAAGAGTACCTTTGAACTATAGAAGTAGTTCGAGGGGCAGCAGTGTTGTGGTGGTAAGACAGCTGGATTTCTCATGGCCAACATTGCATTTCAGATTGAAAAACATGCTGGACAATTGTTTGTGCAATCAAAACTCCAGAAGGAGGGAGAAATGGAGAACAAGGGATTGCAACCTAACCATTCCATTGAGGCGGGAAGAAGCTTTTTCCTCCCCAACCCACTCATTACCAACCCCCATCTTTGGATAGTACACAAGCCCTCTGGCAAAATATCCAATTAAAAAGTAAACAAAGAAAGAATGAGTTCTGTATATGGAAGTGATTTTATATGTTTTTAGTAAATTATTAGGAAGCAGTATTTTTTCCTCATACTATTTTTTTCTTTCTTTTTTTTTTTTTTTTGGCTGGGGAATTTTTTTGCTACAGGGCACGTGCGTTTGCCAGAAAGACAGAGAGAGACAGACAGAAAGTGAGAAATCACCCCCCAAGGGGGGTGGCCATGCCGCAATCCCTTCTTCTCCATTCTTCTCTCGGGATCTTGGGCATGCACACACACGCGCCCTGCATGAGTTTAAGTCACCAGGTCTGGCACTTGAACCGCGGTTGGCTACATGGGAGTTCAGCGACATAGCCATCACACTAACTGCTGATCCCAATACTTTTTTTTTTTTTCTGTGAAGTTTATTAAAGAGAGTCACTTAAAGCAACTAGTTCATATGCATAAGGATTGGTGGAAAAGAATCAGTGAGAACAATATTAAATGAAAAATGAAATTGTCTTTGCAAGGTCCATCTGTTTTACCAGCTTCATTATTGTGAGCAGCCACATGACTAGAAATCAGAGGACAGGCCTTCAAACTATTTGTGTTGGCGATCATAAAAAGATTACTTAGCTCTCCAAGTTTCTGTATTTTCATGTAAAATTTTGGAAGGATTTATGAAAACAAATCATAAAACAATTTATAATTCAATTTAATAGTTGTTAGTTCAAATCTTCCTTGAGGAATCTGTGCTATGCTTTCAATGGGGATACAGTAAAGATAAGATAATAACGAGCAGGTGAATGAATGGGCTTCATCGCAAATACCAAGGCACTCCAACTCTCGCCCACCAAACTCATTCGTAAAGATTCAAAAGCAGAGGACCTTTGCAATAAATTGCAAAACTAGCCACAGTCCTTCACATCTCATTTTGTCAAGAAATGCAAGGGCCAGACTGTGATGCAGTGCTGATACAACTGAGCTCACATGGGAAGGTGCTGGGTTCATGTTTGGGGGCGGGGGGTTTGTGTTGTGGGGGGGGGGGGGGGGGGCTGAACACTCCAGGTGTTTCTGATCAAGGCTGGGTGAGACCAGGGGTGAGTTGCGGGGTGAAGATCCTGTTGGCAATGCTTCTCTCTTTCTCTCCCTCTCTCTCTCTATCATAGAAGGAATAAATAAATAAACTTTTAAAAAGAAATGCAGTCTGTTAACCCACCTCTTAAGGTGAACTGGTACTATGACCTGCTTTGACTAATCAAACGTGGTATAAGTGATGTCAGTTCTAATTGAAGCTCAAGAGACCTTGACATTTCTTTCTTACACTAGGGAGCTTGTGAATAAGCCTCAGTCGGCCTGTCAGATGGTGAACCCACATGGTGTAGCAGTCTCAGCTGAACCAATTAGTGCCACAGACAAGAAGGGGCCCACCTGTGAATAGCTGAGCACTGCCCAGAGCATAAACACTCCCCAAATGGGCGTAGCACAATTTTCTGTCTTACAAAATCCTGAGGAAATATGGGTTGTCCTTTGACCTAGATATGATGTTATTATTGTTATCATTATTAGTGTTTCTTATTATCGTGGTAGCTATCATTTGGGAATACTAGCTATGTGGTAGGCATAAACTCTACTTAAAATTTATAATTGGTACCTATTTACAATTTCATTTTATCATATTAACTATCCTGTAATAATTTTCATCCCATTTTATAGAAAAGAACTCTAAGATTCAGATATTTTTTCAGTAACTTGCCCAAGGTAATGCAACTGATAAAAATCAAAGTGCTTTTTTTTCATTTTTAATGACAAAATCCACCTTATTTTAGTTTGATACTCTGGACTCTATTATTACTGTGGCATATTTTAACCACTGCAAGATGGAAGAAGTCTTGGCTTTTATAGAACTTTGCCAATATGTAATAACTAAGTTCATGTCACAGCAAAATACATGAACGCCACAATTAAAGAGTTTGAAAATACATAGACTCTTAGACAACATTATAAACATTAATTCGAACTAACATAAATTCTGTCAAAATGCTTTTAGAGGACTCTCAATGATGTGAATTATAATGGCATGTCCTATTTATAGTGCTAATATTTTAGTATCTGTTACCACTGTTCCATGAAACTGTTTATAGTGAACACCAAAACCTAGCTGTGAATATCAGCCTAGCTTCTACCAGCACCAAGGCCTAGTTAATAGTATCCAGGCAACTACCAGATACCAGGGCACTTTTTATCTCACCTTTCTTTATAGTCTCTGTAAAGATGGTGTAAGACTCTGTAAGGTAAGACAGTGCTAAGAAACAGGTCATTTAACAGGGATATAATAACTGATTCTAAATGGTATCTCATTAATCTGTGGCTTCCATACATACAGGAAAAATAAATTCTTCTGCTCTAACAACTTCCTTTGCCTTTAGCTCAATCTCCAGATCCCCACAAATATCTGGAATTTTAACATGGCAGGATAATGAATATGATAACGAATATGGTAGCTTGGGAGAAGAAAATCAGTTTCATAAGTCAGAGCAATTCTTATTCTACCCTCAACAATTGACTTGATATTCTTGAATTAAAAAAAAAAAAATGAGTAGGGGACCAGCAGTTAGAGTAATGGCTATGTCGCTGGACTCTCATGTAGTCAACCGTAGTTAGAGTCCTGGACCCGGTGGCTTAAACTCACGCCAGGCGTATGTGCGTGTGTGCCCAAGATCCCGAGAGGAGAATGGAGAAGGGATTGCAGTGTGGCCATCCCCCCTAGGGGGTGATTTCTCGCTTTCTGTCTCTGTCTCTCTCTTTCTGGTGAGCATACATGCCCTATAGCCAAAACCTCTCCAAAAAAAGAAAAGAAAAAGAAAATACAGAAGATGTAGATCACTCAGGCAGGGGATAATATGGCAGTTACTATAGGCAGCCATAGATGGCATTAAAAATCCTTTTATTGCCCTGGCTGAAAACACCTAGAGCTTTTGAGGTAGGAGAACTTTCACAAGTTTCATGCAAGTAGAAGAAGCAAAAATATTGCTTGGCTATTGCCAGCAGATATCCACTAGGTAGTTCTGTCAGCTCAAAACTGGGAGAATTCTATATGCACTATGGAAGCAAAAAGGAAACACAGCTCACATACAAATAGAAGCCGGACAAAGGAAGCCTGGAAGCCTGTCAGTGTAGGGGAAAAGGAGGTAAACAGGGGAGAATTCTGAATCCCCAAAAAATCCTGAAAAATACCTTATTATTGACGACCTCATCTATCCATGAGACTGCTCAAAAAAATTCCCAGCCCTCTTGACACTAGCAGGTATACACATATGAGAAGATTCTGATTTAATGTCTTCCCTCCATTTGTAGAAAATTCTCTCAAATCCACCCTAAATGGAAGATGCATTAGAATTAGGGGATTTCGGGACAAGCAGTTAGCATAATGGCTATGTCACTGAACTCGCACATGGTCGACCGCAGTTCTAGTCCCGGACCTGGTGGCTTAAACTCACGCCGGGCACGTGTGCGTGCGTGCCCAAGATCCCAAGAGGAGAATGGAGGAGAAGGGATTGTGGCGTGGCCATCCCCCCCTGGGGGGTGATTTCTCGCTTTCTGTCTCTATGTCTCTCTCTGTCTGTCTGGTGAGCGCACGCACCCTATAGCAAAAACCTCTCCAAAAAAAGAAAAAAAAAAAAAAGAATTAGGGGATTTCCCAGTGTCCTTTCAAGCCTCTCAACATGAACTCTGCAACTAGCAACTGAGGTGTCACCATAGGAGATTTTTCTTATTGGCTAAAACCAGATCTGGCAAGGATTGGTTTGGGTGTCTGTAGATTCTCTTGAGGGTCCTCAAGATCTCACAATTACTCTATAGCTCAGAACAGCAACTACTGGGATTAGCCTGAGATGAGAATGATTCTAAATAAAGCTCTGGTTCTGGGGGCACTGACCTTGACCACCTTGATGATGAGCTCCTGTGGAGGCGAAGACATTGTGGGTAAGTGCACAGTGGAGGGATATTCTCTGTAATTGGAAGATAAGAGATTGAGGGGAAAGAGATGAAAACTGGCTGAGAAATAGTAGCAATTTCTCAAAGGCCTTCTTCATAGTAAGAGATTTGAAAATAATGGCTGTTCCTCCTTCAGGAAACAGAACCTTAACCCAAAATCTTTGCTACCTCTGCTGTTGAGAATTCACCAAGGACCTTGTATTAATAACGGACCCGGAGAATACAGCCTGGAAGTCTCTATGACATTCTATCAGGTTACCTCAAAGATTAGGAATAGTTCCATGAGTAAAGTACTTTTTATATTATACTATTACTCCTAAATTTCCCTGAAAATCTTTTTTTCTGTTTCTTTTGTTTTCCAGAGAGTGCATGTGCTTATCAGAGAAACAGAGAGAGAGGAGATAGCATTCCACAGTGGGGCGTGATCTCACCACAATCTCTCCTGTTCTATTTCTCCCTTCTGTTGGGATTAGGGCATAAATGCACACACCAGGCATGTCTTTCAAAGCACCAGGGCCAGGATTTGAACTGCTGTTGATTATGTGGTATCGAGCTCCTTTAACCACTAGGCGACAGGTCCAACCCTTTGAAGATTTTTATGTGTCTTCAGAAGTGTTATCTTGAAACAAAATAGGTCCATGAATTATGTAAATTATCTGGACATATTTTTTAAAAAGTCCTTTTCTTTATCTCAGATTCAGACAAATTTCCATGCTGGAAGCTGGCCCGGCTGAAAGTAGTAAAGGAGTCGAGCAGGCTGACTACCTTTAAACAAGTTATTTTACTATATGATCCTCACTTAATCTCAGTTATTTCATGTATTATACACTCCCAAAGAATCAAATAAACATTTAAATGTGCTTCATAAATAGTAAAAACATATAAATATCAACTTTTTTAACTTATTATATGTGCACTTTCCTAGTTTTTCTTAAAAAAAATAAGGATATCTCTTTTATTTTAAAATCAAGAACTTTATGATGAAAACCTTGATACATTAAATTATTTTATTCTTAAATTATGGACCCAAATTCCCTTTACTTATCTCATGTAATGAAGTCCTATAGAAGGAACAATGACAGGTATGGATTATTTCTACCTTTTATTGTCACCTCTTTCTATCCTCCCTTTGTACTTTTATTTTAATCCTTCTTTCCTTTCTGAGTCAATCCCTGACTCCCTGCTCTTTTATAGACATGAACAATGAGTGTGTAAAAAGTTAAAAACTCAAATAGTCACAAAGGAAAGGAAAGTGGAAAGTATGCTAAACTTCAATAAGTTGATTAATCATGGCTGCTTCCATTGTTGCTTTGTTTCAGAGTGACTCTCATTCTTCCTCATAGCCCTTGACTCCTTTGTTTTAAATTTTCTTCTTTCAGTGTCACAACCAGAATTCCCCAGTCAAGCTCTACTTATCCAATAGCTACGGTAGGCACCGTGCTGAGGGCCCACAATGCTGCAGGAATGGATGAAATGCTTTCTTTTTTTTTTTTATGAAATGCTTTCTTTTAAAAATTAGAAAAAAAAATAGTGTTTTAGAGTCTGAGAAAGTGTTTGAACTTTTAATTCAGCCTGGATTATATTTGTCTTCATACCATTACTGTCATAAAATATAATTTCCAACATTTTTATGAAGGGAGGGCTAATGAAAGCAGCAATGCTTGGGGCTCACAAGTCATAATGCACCCCTGGTCATTGCTGATCCTTTCATATGGTCCTGCTATGTGTGTGCTGTCAGTCATCTCCCAAATCTTTATGATCCTTGGAGATAGCAACTGCTTTCAATTCTCATTTTTGAGCACACAATGAACTAAATTCTGAGGGTTCAAAGATGAAAAGACACGCTATTTTCTCTCTAAAGGTGCACAGGCTAGTGTACGGAAACAGTACAGGTTGCAGAAAAGCAGAAGGACCATTGCTGACAACAGCAGACATAGCTGAGGCTAAAACTATAATAAAAGTGATTTGGTTCCCACTGGTGCAGCAGTGTGATGTCCTCCAGAAAAACTTGGCAACTCAGGACAAGTAGCAAATAAAAAGAATAACTGCATATATTCGGGTTTGGAAAGGGAGTCAAGATTTATTAGAAAAATAAAGAGGACCCACTGGGTATCAACCAAAGCAATCATACTGAGCAGGGAAGAAAATGAGCAGAGAGAAACTGACAAACTTAAGATAGTAGGACATTGAAATGGGGCGTTGGAGGTCACAATGTGGTTGAAATGTGGTTTTCAACATGTTTATGAGAGGGTTTAGTCAAAATATTAGGGGACTAGCAGATAGTGTAATGGCTATGTCATTGCACTCCCACGTAGTCAACCGCAGTTCGAGCGACTGCGGTTCGAGTCCTGGACCCAGGGGCTTAAACTCAAGCTGGGTGTATGTGCGTGCGTGCCCAAGATCCCGAGAGGAGAATGGAGGAGAAGGGATTACGGTGCGGCCATCCCCTCTAGGGGGTGATTTCTCACTTTCTATCTCTCTGTCTCTCTCTGTCTTTCTGGTGAGCGCACACGCCGCCCTAAAGTGAAAACCTCTCCAGAAAAAAAAAAAAAAAAAGAAAAGAAAAGAAAAGAAAAGAAACAAAACAAAATATTAGTAACTAAGAAGAAATCTGAAGGATTAATTAGAGGTCCCAGGAAATCCTAAATGTTAACTTTATTGGGACCAGCAGTTAGCATAATGGCTATGTTGCTAGACTCCCATGTAGCCAAGCACGGTTCGAGTCCCGGACCTGGTGGCTTAAACTCACGCCGGGCACATGTGTGTGCATGTCCAAGGTCCCAAGAGGAGAATGGAGGAGAAGGGATTGCGGCGTGGCCATACCCTCTGGGGCATGATTTCTCACTTTCTGTCTCTCTGTCTTTCTGGCGAGCACGTGCACCCTACAGAAAAACCTCTCCAAAAAAAAAAAAGAGTTAACTTCATTTCAGGAAAGAAAATATACCGCTACAGTAACATAAAAAGATAAGGTAGTTTGGTTGATTGCTGACATTTCTCGAGGATATTGGACTACAAAGCTGTTGATAGCCTCATCACAGAATTCATCCCAATATACTATATATTCATTCAACTTTTTGACATGAAAGGCTTTACCCAATTGGTCCTTTATTCTTTGCCCCAAGTCATATCTAATACTTTTAATGAGGAAAGAAGGAAAGATGGAATGATAAACAGCTTACAAATGTCTTGACAAAAATGTCCAGTTGGGTTCATTTGAATGGAGCCACACTACACTGGCTGCCCTTTGCTTTGGCATCCTCAGACAAACACTGTCCATTTGAGGGGAAAAGGCTTTAATTTACCTGAGTCTTCAAGTGAATATATGTGTAAAGTCAGAAAATGAACAAGTTTAATAACTTCCTTCAAGGAGAAAAAAAAAAAAAAGAAGAGTGCAAATTATAGAAATACAAAAACAAATAAAAGTTTCCTTCTTTTATTCCAAAACAAATCAGGTACTCTCCTCTAAAGATCACTGCCGTGAACAAAAGACCTTAGATTCACTATGTATTTAACATCTATAATTACTACATTTTATATATAGTATAATAATGTACACAAATATATAATACCTATGTTAATGTGTGTTATTACATATATATAATGTATATATTAAATATTTAACTATCTATATTATAATGTTCTTATTGTTCTTGTTATATTCTTTCTTATACTTTATATGAATTAAAGAAAACTTTTAAAATAACAAGATTGTAGGTTCTATTTCTTGGTTTAAAAAAGAAACAACAAAAAAATGATCCCTAAGTAGCACATGTTCTGTTCTGAACCAGTCTTGAGGGGAAAGGATGTATAATAGATTTGTTACTAACTGGTGAATTGAGAGATAAAATTTATGAAGCAGAGGCAAGTAAACTGAATCTCCAAGAAGGTACATACTAATAATACAGTTATTCTTTCCTTCATTTCATTCCATTATTTATCTTGAGCCTACTATGTGTCAGGTACCAAGGTCCTCAGAAATAGCAGAAACTGAGCATGTGACATTGTGCCCTCATAGAGCACACAGCATAGTGGGAAAGGCTGTATTCTAACTGGGCAAATATCATTACTAAAGAAGGAAACAGGTGGTGTGGATTTTGTCCAACGATCATACCAAAATGAAGCCCATAATGTCAAAGTCAGTTTCTTTTGTCACTTTGTTTAATGAAGTTATTTTCTTTCCCTGATTTCCACCTTTCTGCTCTTTACTCTCATTCATCAGCTGACCATGTTGGCTCCTATGGAATAAATGTCTACCAGTCTCATGGTCCTTCTGGCCAGTACACCCATGAATTTGATGGAGATGAGCAGTTCTACGTGGACCTGCAGAAGAAGGAGACTGTCTTGTGGCTTCCTGAGTTCAGCAAAATTGGACGTTTTGACCCACAAGGGGCACTGAGAAACATAGCTACACTAAAGTATAACTTAGACATCATGATTAAACGTTCCAACTCTACGGCTGCTCCTAATAGTATGTGTTCCCCATTCTGCCTCTCTTTATTAAATCTATCCCTTCACACCAGATCTCACTGACTTCGTCCCTGAGATATATCTCCTTGTTGGACCAGCAGTTAGCGTAATGGCTATGTCGCTGGACTCCCATGTAGTCGACTGCAGTTCACATCCTGGACCCAGTAGATTAAACTCACGCCGGGCGCGTGTGCGTGCGTGCCCAAGATCCCGAGAGGAGAATGGAGAAGGGATTGCGGCATGGCCATCTCCCCTGGGGGGTGATTTCTCACTTTCTATCTCTCTGTATATCTCTCTCTCTCTGTCTGGCGAGCGCACGCGCCCTATAGCAAAAACCTCTAAAAAAAAAAAGAGAGAGAGAGAGATCTCCTTGTTTACTTAAAATCTTCCCTTTCCAAGGAATTACCAGATCTTCTCATGTCAACTACCAAATCCTCATTCTCATCTTACAAATCACGTATTTCTATGTAATACAAAGATAATAATAATGCAGTCCTTGAATCTTTCAAGGAGAGGTCCTATAGTCCTTCTACCTTAGCAGACATGCCCATGGAAAGAAGGACAAAGAAATAAAGTGGGTGCAATGTATAGAAGCTCCCCAAGCAGAAAGGAAATTTGGGGCAAATACTGGTGGGAAGGCTCACATGGGATGCAGAATTTCAGTTATTAGCAATCTACGTCACTGCTGTATCCTCATCACAGAGATACCTGAGGCAACTGTGTTTTCCAAGTCTCCTGTGAAGCTGGGACAGCCCAACACCCTCATCTGCTTTGTGGACAACATCTTTCCTCCTGTGATCAACATCACGTGGTTGAGTAATGGACGCTCCGTCACAGAGGGTGTTTCTGAGACCAGATTCCTCTCCAAAAGCGACCATTCCTTCTCCAAGATAGGTTACCTCACCTTCCTCCCTTCTGCTGATGATGTGTATGACTGCAAGGTGGAGCACTGGGGCCTGGATGAGCCACTTCTGAAACACTGGGGTATGCATGAGTTCCACCCCCTTTTGGTAACTTCTTTTTTTGTCAAATCCAGAACATCTTGCCTTATGGTTCCTAAGGCCCAAAACTTGTTTTCTACCCTTCAGAAAGAGTTTCTAATGATAGACTTCACTTTCCTGCAGAAGCCCAGAACACCATGTCTTTGTAAAGTCAACTCTCAGCACTCAGGCCCCATCCTGCAGATAAGTACATGGACACAGTCTCTATTCTGACCTCAGTAACTTCATTTTCACAGAACCTGAGATTCCAGCCCCTGTGTCTGAGCTAACAGAGACCACAGTCTGTGCCCTGGGGTTGTCCATTGGCCTTGTGGGCATCGTGGTGGGCACCGTCTTCATCATCCAAGGTCTGCGCTCAGGTAGCACCTCCAGGCAGCAAGGGCCCTTATGAGCTGCACCATATGAAGAAAGGTAAGAATTCAGGATTGTCAGCACTGCAGCCACAGTACAGGAGGAAAGGAAGTGGGAGGAGGTTGTAGATACAAATAACAGTTGAGTGTTACAGAAAAGTTGAAAAATGACATGAACCTACAGACTCACCAATCTTGTCTGTTGCAGATACATTGTCCACCTCCAGGAGCAGAAGAGTGGATGTGCTGGATGATCCAGTACTATTTTCTGGTCCAATTTCTCATGCTTCTTCTCTCTTCCAAATGTTCCTCCTCTCACCTTTTCTCTGGGATGTAAGGTTTTGTGTCCTTTCAGAGTGCATATACACTTGGAATTCTCCCCCGACCCGATTTTCTTACTTTTTTCAATGTTACCTATTATGGGATTTATGGGGTCCCTGAGGTAATAATACATCCAGTTACCTAATTCTTCAGTGACCTAATCTCCAAGGAAGAAATAAATTCCGTTTTATGAGCTTCCTATTGAGATTTTTTTCTGTCTTTCATCTCAGGGCTCAATAGAACCATGGCTAAGAATGGGAGACTTTTATGTTTCATGCCCAATAATCTCATTGCCCAGATTATGTTTCATACCCAGTAACATATTATAGAAGCAACCAACGATAACTTGATATGTTGATATCTTAGCTGCAGTTAATACAGGTGCACTTCCAGGAGAATGGAGATAGAATTTCAGCGTGGCTATCTCCCATGAGGGATGATTTCTCACTTCCCCTCTCACAGTCTTTCTCTCTCTCTCTCTCCTCTCTCTCTCTA